TCACATAAGTTGAAAACAATTTGTTTTTTTTGGCTAAGATCAAAATATTCTTTCTCCCTGGCAATCACAAAATATAGGCATACTCCAAATATCTGGCTAAAAATGTCTCTTTGTGTTTAATACTCAAAATCATAGAAGATTCAAGTGTCTCAATACAAAGTGTTTATAGCCCATGTTTAATAGGAAAAATAAACACATACTTACATCCCCAAAACTCATATTTTTAACAAAACAACGTTCAGCAAAGGTTCAGTTTTATTCCATACACAACTGGTAGAATGTCAGAAGCTTGTGCTCTTTGAAAAGGGAGTGTCAACTGAGAGGATGTGCATCTTGGAGATGGTGGGGCTCAAACAGGCATCAAAATGTTACTATATACAAAGCACCTGTCAGTTTGGTAAGTGAGGAGACTTGTAGCATTTTATATCCTAACATAGCAGGATGTTACTTTATTACTTAAAAGTTACTTCTCTTACCTATATGTAAGGCTTCCTGCTGAGTTTTATTACAGTTTAATTACACTTAGAATTGGATGGGAATGTGGGTCGAAATACCACCTGTTATAACTTTATCCATTTAAAACAAGGAGAAAACCAAGAGGAATCAAATTAACAGCACCAGTAATGTAACAAATAGGCATCATGTGCCTCCTGATACAATGCACTGAGAGCAGAACATCACTGTTGCCAAAAGTAATCATCTGAATCTAATCATGAGGAAACATCAGACAAACCCAAACTGAGGGGCAGTCTAAAAAATAATTTGCCTATATTCTTCAAAAATGTCAAGGCCAAAAAAAAAAGGTGAGGTCATGGGAAGCTGTAGAGAGATGGTGAGTTTGAGAAACAAAAAAAGAGAAAGGAAGATTGAGGAACTGTTCTAGATTATAGAAGACAAAAGAATAAGTCATGAAAACAAGATGTAATATATGATCTTATGTTGGATCCAGGATAAGAAAATTTTTATTTTGCTATGAACATTACTGGGACACTGGCAAAATCTGCGTAAGGTCTCTAGATTAAATAAGATTACTGTATTAATTTCCTTATTTTAATAAGATTATGATTCTGTAAAAGAATATTCCTAGGTAAACAACTGACTCAAATATTTCAGAAAAAAATACGTAGACAGAGAAAGAATAAGGCAAAGAAAACACAGCATAAGGTTAACATTTAGGGAATCTGGGTGAAGTGTACATGAATTCTTTGTGTAACTATTCTGTATATCAGAATACTTTAAAAGTTAAAAAAATAAATAAAATGACAAACCAGCTCTCATGCAGCATATTCACACAGAACATCTAATTTTCAAACACAGAATAAGCAGGAAATCCCTGTATAGTTTACAGTGCCTTTTAAAATTTATTCAGTTTGGTCTAAAAAGTTACCTAATTACAATCCAGCATGCCTCTTGCCACAAATCTGGTGTGATTTCATCATCATCCTCATCATATTGCATATCTGCAAAAACAAAAAAAATCATTCTCACTTGCAATAAATACTACTAGCTCACATCTTACTATGATGTGAAGTAGCAAAAACACATTTACTCTTTACTAAATAAAAAACAATCGCTTTACCCACTTCTTTAAAATTTTAGTCATCACATTACCTGAACTGTAATGAAACAATATACATAGGTATATATGTACACATACATAGGCCTACGTCACAGTATTCTCCCAATACACAAAGAGGCCTCGTGAGAAAGGTTCAGTGCAAGTCGTGTGAATCTGTAATTGTTCCATCATCTCCAAGAAGCCCATATAATTCTCATTAATAACTACCTATAATGATAACTAGCAGCAAGCTCATAATCCTCTGATCAATAGGCTCCTCAGAGACTGGAGTCAGAGATCAGGTTAAGAGGGAGGAGTCAGCAAAGGACTCCAATAGCTGGGCAATACCTTAAGGTGAGCTGTCTATAACAGCAACATTTCACACATGGACAGGGATGACAGGCTGTATTTTCCAAAGATGGACACAACTATCTTCCATTTCACATGCTCTTTTATAAAATGATCTAGACACTCCTACCATCAAAATATAGAGGGTCTATGCTTCCTCCCCTTGAATCTGGGTGGGTTTTTGACTCTCCCATAACTAAGAGAATACAGCTAAAGCAATGCTACATGATTTTAGAAGCTAGGTCAGGAATAACAATGCAATTCCACCTTCTTTATTGAAACACTTACTTCTGGAGCCCTGAGCTGCCATTAAGAACTCCTACTACTTAGGTGAGAAAATCTAAACAGTGGGCCCACTTACCAGATGCTGCAATTAGCAATCCTAGTCCTGTGTTTTCCTAGGCTAGATGCCAGACACATGAGTAAACACTCCAGATCACCCAGCCCCCAGCAGTCAACACTCAGCCTTTGTGTCTTCCCAGTTCAACCACTGACAGACATCAGGCAACAGACAAGTCATTCCTACTATGCCTGTCCAAATTCCTGACTCATTTAATCCATGAACATATTAAATAATTTTTAAGCAGCAAAACTTTGGGGAGTTTGTGCAGCAACAGTAATTTATAAAATGGGGCATTTGAAAAATCAGTGTGCACTGGTGCTAATATTAGTCTCATCTTCTTATGCAAAAGAATAAATGTGCTCTATTTTTGTTTTTCTATTCTGACCTATATACATAGTCTGTAAAACTTAACAACTTTGATTCAAAATTTGATACATATCCAAAATAAATTATTAATAAGTGCTTCTTGAATGGTCTGGAATTACTGACTCCTACACATGGGGGGTGAGGTAAAATAGACAAAGGTATCTAAAATGGCTTGGAGATTTCTAGCTTTGATGGCACACTAGATGTTATTATCACAGCCACCCAGGAGAAGTAGGAAGGTTGGAAAAGGAGAGGTAATAATGAAGTCAGTTTTAGTTATACTTGTACATCATTTATCCTTTTTAACATTTTTGTTTTCTAGCCTCTGAGAAATGAGACTATATTACCTACTCAAAAAATTAAGCTGAAAAAACTTTTTTTGAATTTTTTTCTCAGGAGTTAAGAAAAAGAATACAATGATGCTAATAAATTTCTAGACGCAAGATAAAAATGAGACAAGTTTAAACAGTAGAGTTTAAGTTTTTGCTTCTATTTTCTCCATGAAGTAGCTGAGGGAATAAAGAGAAATGTAAGCGGTGGCCAGGAGATTGGGAGCTAGAAGAAAACGAACTTTGAAATAGCAGCTTTGGAGAACGGAAGAGGGAGCATTAAAAATATATAATGAAAATACACTACACGTGACTACGAACTCTACATATAAAAAGAAAAAGACATACTGTCCCTGTTCGTTAAAATACCTACCATCTAGAACTGTGTCATCTCGCGGATAGAGGAAATGTAAAGGTCATCTTTTAAAATAATTTACTTAGGCATATGACAGCATGAAGGAACGCCAAACTAAACCAAACCCTGCCCCCGCGCCGCACACACACAGAAACTATATTCCTTGTCCCCAGAGTTCTTCCAGAGCCTAACACAATGCCTGGCACAGGGTGATGCTCAAAAATTCAACTATTCATAAATTCATTAACTCTCGCCTTAAGGGAAATCAAAAAAGGAGTCCTTTGCTTCAAAGTCGGAACAACGGAACCTGTCGCATGGTTCTGCGCGCTGTTTTCAAGACGGGAAGGGAGTGTCAGACTCACCCAGGGGCAGACAGAGGAGAGAACAAGAGTCACCCTGACCGAGATGATAAAGGCTACGTTCCCTGCACCCTCCACCTCTCAAAATCCCGGATTCGTTCCCGGCCTCGGGAGTGTGGGGAAACGACTGGGGCCATGGTGCGGCGGGCCGAGGAGGAGACCGCAAATCCTCAACTCGTCCAGCTACCCACGTTTCCCCCCTTAGACGGGTCGCCACGGAGTGTTCTGGGTGGTCACCTACCCTCGTCCGCGTCATACATATTGGCAAACGGTTCCGGAGCTCCTAACTCTAGAAATCACACACGGAAAGGCGCGCAACGACTCCGACGTCCGCAGCGTGAGGCGAAGTAATTTCCGTCTCCGGCGTTCCCAGAATACGCTGCGTCCCACACGAAGCTCCGCCCACAAAGACGCCAATTAAGGTCTGCGCCTGCGCGAAGGGTAGGGTAAGCTGTGTTAAGGGTTAGTATTGTGCATGCGCGATTTGTGGGCTGAAGTTTCCCCGTGCCTGAGAATGAGAACTGTTCTTTACAGTTTGAGTCGGATCCAGCCAATGAAACTTTGTTTTTCAGTGTTGTTGCACAAATAATGGCACCTAAAAAAAAAAAAAGTCAAAAAGATTTAATAATAAAGGGTTTAGCTGTAGCCGTGCTTTATTTTTTTCGGTTCCAAAGACTTAAAAATACGAAGATTTAAAAAATGATTTCTGGGCTTCCCTGGTGGCGCAGTGGTTGAGAGTCCGCCTGCCGATGCAGGGGACAAGGGTTCATGCCCCGGTCCGGGAAGATCCCATGTGCCGCGGAGCGGCTGGGCCCGTGAGCCATGGCTGCTGAGCCTGCGCGTCCGGAGCCTGTGCTCCGCAGCGGGAGAGGCCACAACAGTGAGAGGCCCGTGTACCACAAAAACAAAACAAAACAAAAAAAAATGATTTCTGTGCTCCGGAGCCTGTGCTCCGCAACGGGACAGGCCACAACAGTGAGTCCGCGTACCGCAAAAAAAAAAAAAAAAAGATTTCCGTGTACATAAACCATAGTCAATTTTTTAAAATGTTTAAGAAATATTTTAATGTTGTTGCACAAATACTGACACCCGCAAAAAAATAATAAAGCCAGGAAGATGTATTAATAAAAGGTTTTAATTGTGGCCATAAGTCTGCGGCATTAGATTTTCTATTTTCCAATCCGAAAGACAAAACAATACGAAGCTTTAAAAAAATGTGATTTCTTAACGGCACGTAGTGCCAGCAGTGGCGCGTTGAAGAAGCCTGAAAGTTGATAAACCCTCACTCACTAGCCTATTGGGCCAACCCACCCCAGTTAAGGTGCGCGGGGCATTTATCTCCGCTTTAAGTGGGCTCTCTGACCACAGAGCCTTCATCGCGAGAACTCACGAGATTAGACGCGAGAGGAGGAGCTGAAGTGCGACGCTGAAAAATGACAGCTCTCAGGTAGTCCCGGGCTGTCGCTACCGTTTTACGCACATCTGGGGCCACAGAGCACGTGAGAAAAGGTGGCTCAGCCCCTTTGCCCACGCCCGCGTTTCTCATGCTGCCCGCGGGCCTCACTCGTAGGCTTCTGTGCAGCTTCCTGCGGGGATCCACTCCCACGATAGCGCGCCATGGCCTCCGGGAGACGCTCCTCGAGAGGAGATGTGCGGCCAACTCCACCTCCCGGCACTCATCCGGCCTGGGATGTGGGCTTCCCCGTGGCGCGACAGCGACTGGGGATAACCAAGGAAGGGCTGACATGGAGGAGAGTTTTGTGTTCCCCGAGTACGTCCCGGATTCGGAGCCCGCAGTGACCCTCCAAGACCAGCTGCGGGAGCTGCAGCAGCGTCAGGAGGAGGAGCGACGGGTGCTGCAGCGGCGGGAGGAGCGGCGGCAGCAGAAACTACGCACCGGCCGGCGGGTGCACCCGGTCGTGGGGCACCCGGACGCGACGGTGCCGCCCAGCGGCCTAAACTGTTCGGGATGCGGGGCGGAGCTGCACTGCCAGGACCCGGGACTGCCCGGTTACCTGCCCAGCGAGAAGTTCCTCAGCGCGGCGGCGCAGGAGGACGGCGGACTGACGCAGACCGTGTGCCAGCGCTGCTGGCTGCTGGTGCATCACCGGCGCGCCCTGCACGTGCAGGTGAGTCGCGAGCAGTACCTGGAGCTGGTGACTGCCGCGCTGCGGCGGCCCGAGCCCGCCCTGGTGCTGTACATGGTGGACCTGCTTGATCTGCCCGACGCCCTGCTGCCCCACCTGCCCGCGCTGGTGGGCCCCAAGCAGCTGATCGTGCTGGGAAACAAGGTGGACCTGCTGCCCCAGGATACTCCCGGCTACCGACAGCGGCTCCGGGAGCGACTGTGGGACGACTGTACCCGCGCCGGGCTCCTGCCGCCCCCTGGCTACCGAAGGCCACAACACCCCAGCGAGGACCGGCCACGGGACGGGGAGAATGCGAATCTTTCGCCCAGGTCCCGCACAGTGCTCAGAGACGTGCGGCTCATCAGCGCCAAGACTGGCTATGGAGTCGAAGAGTTGATCTCCGCGCTCCAGCGTTCCTGGCGCTACCGCGGCGACGTCTACCTGGTTGGCGCCACCAACGCTGGCAAGTCCACTCTCTTCAACACGCTCCTGGAGTCCGATTACTGCATCGCCAAGGGCGCTGAGGCTATCGACAGAGCCACCATCTCCTCTTGGCCTGGTGAGCCTTAGGATGCCCGTCCCCTTCGTATTTTTTTAAAATATTTATTTGGTTGTGCCTGGTCTTGAGGTAGGCAGGCTCCTTAGTTGCAGCACTTGGGCTCCTTAGTTGCGGCAGGCTGGCTTCTTAGTTATGGCATGCATGTGGGATCTAGTTCCCTGACCAGGGATCGAACCCAGGCCTCCTGCATTGGGAGCGTGGAGTCTTACCCACTGCACCACCAGGGAAGTACCCTCCTTCGTTTTCTGAGAAGCTGGAAGTCTGATCGTAGTTCAGGCACCTAGTCCTATATCCTTCCTTAATGTACACCAGGGGCTGGCTGGAGGCTTCCTTTAAAAATTCTCTACCTACTTCGGTCACATTTCTCTTTTGTGTCAGTTTAATGCTTGGAAATTCAGTACATGTTTTAGTAACTTTCCAATAGAAATAATTAGAGTACTTCTAGGTACCAGTCACTGTTCTAGGCACTGTAGATGAACCAGGGGACAAAGCAGTGTCTGCTCTCTTGGAGGTTTCCCTTGTAACTTTAGTTCTTTGTATATTTCTCCAGAAAGTCCTTTTACTTTCTAAACCTCCCTCCACCCTTCAGTCTCACTCTTCATATCTTGAGTTTAGTCAGGAGAGTACTATACAGATTTAACATTTGAATAATTCACTAATGCAATATATGTGGCTTTGTTGCAAAGAAATATCAACTTTGTGACTTTAAGAAACGTCTGTAGTAATTGTAAAATGGGTCCTTCTGTGACCTGTTTGTATCTAATAGTTGGCAAAGCGAACTACTTCATTTGATTCTTTGAAACCAGTGTTGAACTTTGCTTGATAAGCTGTACTTCTCTGTCAGGGACACTGGTTGACTTATACACAGAAGTGCTTTTATACCGGTTAGGAGTATGCAGAAGATGGAAAAAGGTCAGGCCTGTAGATTTGGCATTCAAATCCTGGTTTAGCTTGTGGGCCAATCTCTGAACCTATTGCCTCATCTGTAAAGTAAGAATAATTTTGTGGAGGGTTGTCATGAAAGTTAAGAGAAATAATCACAGTATCCAAGACAGTGTAGATCCTCATACATGTTTTATTCCATTTTCTTGTACAACGTTTATGAGAATGTATGTCTTCTTTGGTATTTCAGGTACTACATTAAACCTTCTGAAGTTTCCTATTTGTAACCCAACTCCTTACAGAATGTTTCAAAGGCAAAAAAGGCTTAAAAGAGATGCAACGGAAGCAGAAGAAGATCTTAGTCAGCAAGAACAAAATAAACTTAATCTCTTGAAAAAGCATGGTTACGTAGTAGGTAAGCATCTTCTGTAGGAAAACTCTGCCTTAGGTCTACGCTAAAATTTTCTGTAGAACAACCTGAAATAGAGCTCTCTGGAGCTAGCCAGTTTTTGTGGGGAGAGACACTTCCTCTTTCTGGAACAGAGAGGCCTTTTAGAGGCAAGGCTACTGTTTGGAAACCCAGAATTCATTGTGTTGGGAAAATTGAGACAGCAGATACTTGGAGAAATCCAGGAAAGGAAATGCAAATAACTGCCTCTCTGGCCATTGTCAGCAACAAGCATTTTCACTAAGATACCAGCCCCCTGTACAAGTTGTTGACCTGCAGCAGGTTTAAATTGGATTGTCCCCCTTTCCTTGGTATCTCTTTACAACCTTTCTTTACTAAAAACAGTTTGATTCCCAACACTCTCCCCCTTTGCCCAGTGTGCACAGCCAGCCACACATACTTGATCAATGCAAGAGTCCGACTCCCACTGCATTTAGAAATAAAGCAAAAGTATCATTGTGGTCTCACTTCCTTCCAAACACCATTGTTAGTCCTAGTAACTTCTACGAGGCAAACTTAAGAACTACCTGTCTCAAGTCAAAAGCTTTAAAGGAGTGACTACTAACTTCAGTATAACTTGTTCTAGGAAGAGTTGGAAGAACATTCTTGTATTCAGAAGAACAGAAGAATAAAGCTGCCTTTGAGTTTGATGCCGATTCACTTGCCTTTGACATGGGAAATGAACCTGTTATGGTTGCAGATAAATCCACCAAACGAGTAGAATTGACCCCACAAGATGTGAAAGATGCCCACTGGTTTTATGACACCCCTGGAATTACAAAAGAAAATTGTGTAGGTATTTAATGTCTTTTAGAAACATTAACTTTCAATTGCAAGAGTAGTGTCTTAATTGGCAGAAAAAGAGGTATCCTTTCATTTTAGACTCAGTTCTGATTCATGCATAGAAGCGTTTCAGGGATGAATCTATATGCCATCAAGTACTGTATGCCATTTGGTAGACGTCACTGCTAACAACCTACTTCTATCCTTGTGGTTGTTACCTTAGTTAGGAAGACATTTACAGAATCCTAGATTTTGAGGTTGGAAGAAATCATAAATATCACTGCA